TAGATGGTGCCTATTCTGGAGACCCAGCATGGTAAGTACCAGAGGCAAGGTCTTGTCTGAGTGACACAAGGGTGCCACTCCACCCAGTTCATAAAAGCAAGAGATGCTTTTCAAAACAAGGGGACTTAAGTTTTCAGTCAGCGAGGAAAAACAGGAAGCCTCCAGAAAGAACCCAAAGGTAGGCTTTCATGGCCAAGATCATGGAAGCATCCCCAGAACCCCAGGCCAGGACCCCAAGACCCAAACCTCAAAATCCTTGTGTGTTGCCCACTTGCCACTGCTGTTCTCTGAATATTCATTTTATTCTCTTCTTCATGGAGAGGGACAATCCCACTCTTCCTGGTTTTGCTGCTCCATATTCAAACCAACAGAAACACATAGCCAGTGGGACACTGTGGTTGAGAATGGTAGACTGTGGATTCTTGTGGCCTTAGGCCTGGCCGTACAACACTCTACCCCACCACCCCACCTCTCAGACTCAGAAAGCTCCACCAGCCCCACTCCTTTTGTTCTGGAAACTCCTTTGCCACCAGGTACTTCTGAGAATGACTTTGGGAAGAAGGGGTTGTCTCTGTCTGGGGCTCCTCCCGGGCCTGGCTGGTTGTCTGGCATAGAGAATCCCTGATGTTGTTTCCAGCTGCTTCTTAAGGCTCCTCCTTTTCTCCTGGCTTCTGGCAGCAGAGTGATCAAAGCCATATCTGGCTTCCTCAGAGAGCAGTGCTGCAGTTCCCACCCTCATTCCCAGTGACTGTGGAGGACAGGGAGAGGGATACTTTGTCCCACCTGCTGATGAGATTCTGCCACAGCACATCAGTTCCAATGGATATGATGGTTTGGTTTCAGATGGCCCATGGTCTGTGCTAGTACTCCCAGTCAAACTTCACAGTTGGATGCATTTCCCGTCACCACTAGTGCATGGGCTTACTCTCCCTCTAAACCTGTGTGGGTGCATTCCTGCAACGGAAGCCTAAGGATGGGATGTAGCAGTCCCCTACCCATTGCCCAGCACACACTTTTACTAAATCCCTGTCCCCACACATGCCCACAGGTCAGAGCGCCCATCCTACCCAACACAACACACAAGAGTGCAGGTAAACTGCAATGGAGGCTGGAGACAATGTAAGCATCCCAAGTGCTCCCCAGGGCACTTTTCAGGGGTTGCCAAACATGGCCCGAGAGTCTCTTTCCTTGTGTCTGGCCATAAAAGTGATCCAATGACTACACCCATGCTTCAGGCAAGCCAGGGTGCTGCTAGTAACACCCATGAATTAGCAGAGAATGGGCGGAACAGCAGTGTGAGGCAAAGAATAACAATAAACAAGTTAACAAAGTTTAATGAAGTAATAAATTCAACAGGAGGGGTGGAAAACTTGGTTGAAAGAACTGAGTACCCTTTATAGCTTCAGACTGGAGTTGACTTGCACAAAGGGTACCACCTTCTTCCCACCACTGCATAGCCTTCCTCCTCCTCTTTCAGAATGTTGTAAACAAGTTTCTGGATGTGAAAATCCTCCCAAAGTTTTAGTAACTGATGTTGTCAAGCTGGGTAGCCCCAGAAAAGCCCCATTGGTGCTGGGACAGAAAGAATTTTCTTGGAATGTTTCCATGGAAAGAGGCTGGGATTGCCTACAGATTTATCCTGCTATGAGCAGGACTTTGATGTACACATGTTGGGTTGCATTCAAGACCTGTTTCTGAGGCTGGTGTGTTCCTTCCCATGTGAGCTTCTTGTCTTTTCCTTTTAGCTTCTTTCACACACACACTGGCTACTGTCTCTACCTTTCTATCTAGTGCATGAGATATGCTGGCTTTGCAAACATGCAGAATACAAGAGTTATGAGTCAGCTTCCACCACAACTTAACCGGGGAAGCCGTGTAGAGTTGCCTCCACGTGGAGCCCCTGATAGCACAATGCCAGGTAAAACCACAGGGTTCTAGGGATGTACGAGTCCCCATCTGCATTTCTTCCAGTTCCTTGTTGGTGTAGAGACCAATTCAAAGCAAAGGCATCAGTGAAGTGCAGGCATGGAAGCAGGATGTGCTCACAGGGATGAAGACAGCACACATTCAGTGTGTGGAGGAAATCTCATCAGGAACATCGTACATGACCCCAGCTCAGCCACCCGCTTCCGGTAGGGAGTGGTACCCTAACGGAACACACGCATGGGGTGGAATCGGGGCAGGATGCAGTGCTCTTGATGGTCTCTGGTGCTGGAGTCCAGCTCCAGCTGAGTTCGGAGCTCGAGAAGGGTGCGTGAAATAGGCGTAGAGAGAAGAAACGGACCACTACAATTCCAGGATCATCATGGACAATGTGAGAAAGCTGTCTGCTTTTTTTTATACAGAAGCAGTACAAGGTTTTCTTTTAGGGGCAATTTGACATAGCCTCAAGGGGGCACAATTTACAACAGCTTGAGAGATGAATGAGGGAGGATTACACATTCCTTGCTTATTTCGGCTTGCCAGCCCCCACCTGCTCTCCTCAAGTCTGGGTTCTATCCTTGGCACGCCTGTGACAACCAGGCCCCTATCTTGAATTATCTATGGGTTAATAAGTCTGGGGCCTTGGTTTATGGGGATTGGGGTCATTGGCATTAGTTGGCCATTAGGCCTGCAAGCTCACACAGTTTGTTAGCTAAGCAAGTAAAGCAGGAGTTATAATGGCGAAAAGAATTGCAGTTAGCAATGAGCCATGTTTACTCTATTTTGGTTTCAACTCTATGGTACAGAGGCTGCTGGAAGCCTCTTGGCTCTTCATCCCTCACTCTCTGCCTAGTCCACAACAGGAGTGAAGCAGATGAGCAATGTGGAGACCCCAGGAAGGTAAAGTGATCAGCCAGACTCCACACTCCTCTGGGCATTTGATGAGTGAGTGAGAGATCTTTGTCAATTTCCTTCTGTCTCTCTCTTTGAAATAAGAATAAATCTTAAAGCAGTAATCAAATATGATTATTTACACAAACACCAAGTGACACAGCATGCTGTTAACGAGATTTTTTTATTGGAAAGTCAGACACTGGACGGGAAGTAGAGCTGCTGGGACTAGAACCGGCGCCCATATGGGATCCTGGCACTTTCAAGGCAAGGACTTTAGCTGCTAGGCCATGCCGCTGGGCCCTGTTAACAAGATTTAAAAGTTGTCAGTCACTTTGTGCCCTCCCTAGCCAATAAATAAGTAAATACAGCCAGGAACATGTAGTTGCCTGATAGCGACCACCACAAGCCTGCCAGAACCGTGATATTACACACGGGTCACCACAGAGTTAAACAAAAGGCACTTGTGCAAGAACATCCAGGAAGCCACTGTCTGTTCAGCCTCAGGTTTATATCACACTTTTAATTAATTTTCAAAATGTCCCATGTAATTCTCAATGTGGCCTTCTTCCCTTTGCGTCATCGTCTTTGTGCCCACACTTCACCCTGGCGAGGGTACTCCCATGGCATTGCTCCACTATGCCCAGATAAATATCATTATTCTTTGCAGAATCTCAATCACCATCTCTCTCTTTCTCTCTCTCTCTCTCCCTCCCCTTTCCCCCTCCCCCCAATCTATTTACTTTGAGGGACGTTATTTTGCACTAAATGGCCTTATCTGCTGCATTTGTGGAATTTATATTGGATACTTAACTGTCACTTACAGTTTCTACAGCAGGTGCCTGCGCAGTGTCACAACAGGCTAATCCTCCATTCTGTGATACCGGTCTCCCGTTAGGGCACCAGTTCGTGTCCCGGCTGCTCCACTACTGATCTATGCTAATGGCCTGTTTCCAGCAGCAGAGGATGGTCCAAGTGTCCGGAACCCTTCACCCACGTGGGAAACCCAGAAGCTCCTGGTCCCCGGTTTCAGAACAGCTCAGCTCCGGTTTTACAGCTATTTAGGAAGTGAACCTGCGGGTGAGAGATCTCTCCTTCTGTGTGAAAGCTGCCTTTCTAATAACAACATAAATGTCTCCAAAATAATTTCCGCATCATTTTCCTTGAAACCATGGAACAGCTGTTCTAAGCAGTTTTCTTAAGAGCCATTTCCAAAAGTTCACCTGTTGGAACAGCTCCAGAAGGACCCCGGGGCTGGGTTCGCCCTAGGGTTTGTGTCTGCAGAGGAATGGAGAGAGCACCCCTTCTCCCAGCCGGAAAGGGCCGCTGCTCAGCGCCTTTCTATGGGTTCCAACTTCGTGATCTCGCTTTAGTGCGGATAGATATCGCACGACAAATACAGGTGCTCCTTTCTACCGTTCCAGGGAGCTTGCTGGGTGTCGACAACGGGCCGTGAACCTCCAGAATGGAGATTTTGTTGAAGTCAAAGATGCCCTTAAAGGTGTACCTAAAGATGCCTGTAAGTAGAGATCAAGAGGGCGTGGACGTGTGTGTTTGTGTGTTGCTGGTGGAGAAAGACTCAGACATCTCAGCGTTGGGGAAATGAAGGTCTTAAAGCCAGCGTCTCGCTCCTTGCACCCGGCTGTCTGATGATCTTCACCACCCACCAAGAGTAAGCAAAGGCTACCGTGGTTTGAAGCAACCCGGGCCTCCAGGAGGGGACCACGCCGCCGCTGCCTGCAGCTGCGCGCCAGGCTCGGGTATTTACGGCGGCAGAGCCCTGCCCGCGCCGCCGCGATATTTACGGTAACGGGGCTGGCCGGGCGGCGGTATTTACGGTAGCGAGAGGCTCGCGCGGACCGCGGCGTTTGGCGTGGCGGGGCCGGGGCGGCGGCGGGCTTTACGGTAACGGGGGGCCGGGCTCGCGGAGGCCAACCGGCTCGGCCCACTCTCCGCGCCATCAGGTGATTCCAGCCCCTGGCGGCTGGCGCCCCCGGCACCTCGCGGACAATGCAACATGGCCCTCCGGAGCAGTGAAGGGCCGTGGCCCTCGGGGGTCCGCCGCCACCGCGCCCAGCCGCCCGCGACCCGCCGCCCCGCGCCGGGTCCGAACGCAGCCCGCTCGAGCCTCGGCGCCCCGGCCTGAAACACGAGCGTCCTTGGCGCGCGTGTCCCCCAACGCCCACATGGGTCTGTGCTACAGCCTGCGGCCGCTGCTCTTCGGCGGTCCCGAGGACGCGCCCGGCGGCGCTCCGGAGCCGCCCGCGGACGAGGCACGGTGCACGGCCGCGGACGAGGCACGGTGCACCGCGGCCCCGGTGCTGACCCTGGTCCCGGCCGGCTCCGGGGCGCGGGCGGCGGGGCACCCCGCGGCCGGCGGCGGGAACCCGGCGCGCGCCTGGCCCAAGGCGGCCCCGCAGAAGGAGAAGCGGCGGCGCGGGGACCTACAGAGCGCCGAGGAGCGAGAGGCTGCGCGGGAGGCGAAGAAAGTGAGCCGGGGGATCGACCGCATGCTGCGAGAGCAGAAGCGAGACCTGCAACAGACGCACAGGCTGCTGCTACTGGGTAGGTCCCGCGCGCCGCCCGCAGGGATCCCGGGGTGGGCACGGGCGGTGGCAGTCCTTTCAACGCTGGTGATTAAAAATAAGAATAATAAATTGGCAGGGGGTGGGGTAGAGTGTCTTTAACCTCTGGGGGCGGGGGGCTCATTTTCGTTCCGACCCTGGTCACTCCGGTGAAAACCCAGAACATCTTGAACGGAGGTTTTGCTCCTTGCCCGTGGCGATGGCTTGTCTGTCACTGATGAAAATGTGCCCTGTGGATGGATCGATTCGCACAGTGGACTTGCATTTCCCGTGCCCAGTGCAGCGCCATAGTGGTTCACTCTAAGAACACACAATGAAAGGAAAATCCTAAGGCCTTTTAGCTGGCCCACGGAGCTCTTACTCTGACCCAGCTGCCGGTGGGTGTGGCCGGTTGGCTTTTGAGAAATTGGGTCGTCCGCTGGAGAGGTGATGCTTGGGATGCTTGGGGTAGCCATGCAAGGTCAGCTCTGAGCGGGTGAGCGCGTTTGCCCCTCTTCAGATCCAGCAGCCCAAGGGCCTTGCTGCCCCCTATGCCTTCTGCAAACCGGAGGCAGAAGCGGGAGGGAGAGACGGAGGGAGGGAGGGAGGGAGAGAGAGAGGGAAAAAGAGAGAGAAAAGAAAACCTAACCCAGCATTCCGAAGTCCTCAGCTGCACAGCTTGCTAGTGTTTGCTGAGTTTAGCTTTCGTATTCTTGGACTGAAAAGCCTTTTCTTGGTACTGCGCTATGGAATGAAGGGAGCTGGGTGGGGGGAGGAGATTCCCGATGCTACTTGTTGCTTTTTAAGAGAAAGAAAATGACACACTGGCTTTTGATTCCAGTTTTGTGGGCTGTCGGGAAGCGTAATTATCCAGGGTGCCCTGCTGTGCCTAAGAAGCAGCCAGTTCTGTGGCCTGAGGAAGTGACCTGCTCGTCAAGGGTACGGCTTCTAATATCCAAGGGGGACCAATGCGTGTTGAGTCGGAAAGGATTCACCCGCCACAAGGATGAGTGACAAAACAGTTAACCTAGATGCTGTGTCCTGGGACAGTGTCTGAAAATCTAAAGGGAAATTTCGGGAGCGGGTAGTACGAAGAAGCTCGAAACTACAGTAGGTGCTTATCCTTGGTGGTACCTTCCAAGACCCTCAGCAGATGCCTGAAACCTTGCCCTGTAGGAACCGCCCTTCTCCCATACACAATAAGAACTCACAGCAGCAATGAAGTCGAGCAATTGTAGCAGTATTCTGTCCTAGCAATGGTGACACCATGGTGTCTGCCTCATAGGATGCTGTCGTGGGTTCAGCCTTGTTATCGTGGTGTGAGATGATGCAGTAACTTCGTGGTGAGCTGGAGGGGCCCAGTGTGAGGCTGCAGGGAAAGGTACACTGTGCTCCCTGGAAGTCCATTGGACGGCCCAGATGCAGGGGACTGCACAGGAGGGCGGCGGTGCACACAGGATGTAGACTCCCGTCTAAAGGAATGGGCCACATCCTGGGCAGGACAAAGCTGATGGCTCACCTACTTGAAAGCAGCACCGAATGTGAAATTATTTACTTGTGAAATCTCTCATTTAATGTTTTTCCATCCTGGTTGGCTCTGGGTACCTCAAGCTGCGGAATTCTAAAACGTTGATAAGAACTGCTGTATCCATGTGTGGGCAATGAAAATGTGGGCAGAGACTCTAAGGTGGGCTATGTCAGCCAGTGGATTCTGGATCTCACTGTGCTTGGAATGGCGAGACTAGCAGAAATTCAGAACTGTTCAACTCTGAAAACCACTTGAGCAGGCTCCTCAGAGCATGCTGCACGTCCAGGACCCTGGGATGGGTGGGAGGTTGGATGGGCATTCTCCCTTTATCTCCCCTCTTGCCTCAGATGCAGAAAAAGAGAGAGAGAGAGAGAGAGAGAGAGAGAGAGAGAGAAAATGTGGAAACAATGGTCTTACCTACTTTCTTGTAGCCCTTGATCCTTTGTGCCCTAATCAACTATGTAAAGATTATCATAATTTAAAAAAGGGCAGCTGAATTCCAAATCAAGGCACAGTGCCCCCTAGGAAGGGCAGAGGTCCCCACAGTGACAGAGCTCTTTGCTGACTTCCAGAAGGGGACAGATCCAGAACTGTCACTCTAGAACTTCCTACCTAATTAGTTGACCACTCATGTGAAGGGGTCAGGGGAATGTCCCCTCCTGTGGCACGCCTTGAATGGCTGTCCTCTTAGACATTATCTCATGGCCTAATAAAATTTGTATTTCATCCCTCAGTCAAAACGGCAGGTGGGTAAGCCATGGCAGCCCCCACCCCCATCCCTGCTCTGTCTTTCTCTGGAGAGAAATTAATCAGGACTTAGTCCAACCAGTTCTTTGTTTTGCTTTTTAAGATTGATTTATTTTTATTGAGAGGCAGGTTTATAGAGAGAAGAGATAAAGAAAGATCTGTGTGCTGGTTCAGTCCCCAAATGACCGTAACAGCTGGAGTTGAGCCAATCCTAAGCCAGGAGCCAAGAGCTTCTTCCTGGTCTCTCACATAGGCACAGGGTCCCAAGGCTTTGGGCCATCCTCATCTGCTTTCCCAGACCACAAGCAGGCAGCTGGATGGGATGTAGAGCAGCTGGGACATGAACCAGCAACCGTGTGGGATCCCAGCACCTGTAAGGTGAGGATTTAATCACAAAGCCATGGCACCAGGCCCACAACAGCCAGTTTTTTAAGTGCATCCCAGTAACTCAAGAGGAGAATTAAGGTTTAAAAAAACAACAGAGAACAGTATGACTGGGAAGATCAAAAGATGGAAACATTCGATGCAGTTTTATGTGAGTGTAAGGATATCTTTAAAAAAAATCTCAGAATACACAAAGCACAAAAATATTCACTAAAATATTGTGAGCTGCAGAGGACACATGAGTGGTGAAGAGTCACCTTGAGTCACCTTGCTACAGCATGTTTGGAATGAGTGCACTATGCTCCCAGAGGGACACTTTTGTTTATTTTTATTTGAAAGGCAGATTGGCAGAGATGGAGAGACAGAAAGAGAGATCTTTTGTCCACTAGGGGAGATTCACTCCCCCCAGGTAGTTACAATGTCTGAGCAGATCCAAAGCCAGGAGCCTCCTCCACATCTCCCACATGGGTGCAAGGGCCCAAGGACCTAAACCATCCTCTACTGCTTTCCAGATACGTTAGTATCCTGGATCAGTATTCTGGATCAGAAAGAAAGCAGCTGGGATGTGAGCAGGTGCCCATGTGGGATGTCATAGCTGCAGGAGGAGTAGGCTGTTGAGCCACCATACTGCCTGCCTCCTCATCCCCACCTGATCCCCCACCCCGGAAAGGACATTTTGAAAGACATTGTCTCTCGTGACCTGAGACAAGTCCATGTCAACATCATATCTGAAGTGACGTTTAAATGGTTTAAATGGCTTAAGCTTTGCCCAGGAGTATATTGCATCCTTCACCCAGTGTTATCAGCATGGAAACACATACTGTTATATTGAGCTAAAGTTGTTTATCAAATTTTGGGTATGTTTTTGTTAAGCACAGGAAGGTTCTCGGCTTTATTCATATTTGCGATGGATTTAGCTGGACATTTTGTAACCATAAATGAGACTTATAGACCATTAATATCCGGCAGTGCTTTCTTCTGCTGCCATCACATCTGATGGCCATTTATTTCTTTCTGTTGGCCCCGTGCATCCATTTATTCAGGAAATGTGCATTGAGAGCCCAGTGGCAGGGAATAGAAAACTCCATCTCCAGGAGGGTATCCTGACTTCAGTGCTGTCAGTGCTCTGTGCCTCCTAGCCTGAAGCCGGTCCCGTTTCTATATAGCCATGCCTGCACAGGCCTTCCTGGAGACCTCTGCAGAAGGAATAAACTGTCTTCATGTGGATTCAAGTAAATTTTGTTTGCCCCCTAACACGGTACTGAGTTTAGGTCTGCATCATTCCAGAGGTTCCTGGAAGTGCTCTGACTCCCCATCAAGTGGTTCCTGATGGCGTGGCTGGCCATCGTCCTGCCCATCACCTCAAGAGCTCCTCTAGCCTGCACAAGACTCTGCAAGCCACTGTGACAGGGGAGTCTACCAGCAAGAGGGAACCCATTTAATGTTCATGCGTGCATCTTTTAGGCTTGCAATGGGCTGGATTTTAAGGCAATGGGAGGCAGGGTGGGCATACGAGCAAAGACGGGCCGTGGGTGCTCTCCAGCTGGAATGCCTGGAAAACACACACGTCTTCTCACAAGTCTGGAACTTCTCACAAGTGAAGCAATTTGCATGGTTGCTACCTGACATGATCTGTTTTCTGGCTTGCAGACATGTCTTTCCACCACGCCCTCACAACCTGCCCTGAGTGATTATGCAGCGGGGAGAGACACTGGAGAGACACGCTGGACCTCTGGACAGCCTTAATGACCTCTTTGAACTATGACTACCTCCTTAAAGGCCCTACCAGGGTTAAGGCTTTAACCTATGAATAGAAACTAGGAGGTACAGCTTAAGTCCCAGGCAAGGACTAAGGCAAAAAGCATGCGCCTATGCATCTGAACTCCGTCTCACAGGTGCTTCGGGGAACACAGGCCCTGTGTGGCCTGGTCACCTGAGTGTCTGGACTAAGGTAGAAAGGTCTCTTCTTAACTGAGAACTGCTTATTTTTAAGCATAGGCTCATAGTGATAAAAAAAAAAAAAAAAAACAAAAAAACACAGGCTCTGTGACCAACATGGTTCCCAGGCAGCTGGTTCTTGCCTCTGACCTTGCCCCCAGGCCACAGAGACTTTGGCTCAGGCTGTGCCCATCGGCTCCAGGGGTGGGCACCAGACCTGGGTGTGCACTTGTTCAAAGCAGGAGCGGACACAATTGGGTTCATTAGCCTGTGTACACTACTGTACTGGAACATCTGGTTACTGTGTTACTCTGGGTAACTCTAGTAAGTTTGTTTGGGCTCATGCTCGGGGAGGTCCAGGGTTGAGGGTCCAAGGTTGAAGGGCTATGTCTGGCGAGATGACA